TATATATATATATATATATGTATATATGTGTGTGTGTATATATATGTGTGTGTATATATATATGTGTGTGTATATATATGTGTGTATATATATATGTGTGTGTATATATATGTGTGTGTATATATATGTGTGTGTATACATATATGTATATATGTGTGTGTATATATGTGTGTGTATACATATATGTATATATATGTGTGTGTATATATGTGTGTATATACATATATATATATGTATATATATATATATATGTATATATATGTATATATGTATATATATGTATATATGTGTATATATATGTATATATGTGTATATATATGTATATATATGTATATATGTATACGTTTTTATATATATATATATACATATATTTGTGTGTATATGTGTGTGTGTGTGTGTGTGTATTCCCCTCCCCCTACTCAAATAACACTTTTTCTTTTTAAAAGTATTTGTAAAGGGTGTCTGTATTGTTCAATATCATGCCTTACATTGTACATTTAAAATTATCTATTGTGCTAAATTTACTGCAAAGTGCCAAGTTGATTCTCCAGTATCAAAACAAAGAAGTTGAACTTTTCTGCTGCTAGTTTTTTATAGCAGCTTTTTTTTTTACTCTATGCTGCTCCAACATTTCTTTTTTCCTTTTTCTTTATTGAACACCTGACCTGACTTCATCGAGCTGGCCTATTGGTGCCAAAGGAGTTTGTGCAGATCCCTTCAATCTTGAACGCAGATGCACGCCTGCCTACAAATCCTTCTTTTCAGAAACTGACATTGAACAGGTCATTTCTGTCGATGGTGCAGGTAGAGAAACAGTGCTTTCCTATCTGCAAACCTTAGAGGAATTTTGAAAATTACCAGTATGAGCCCACCTACCAGGCATCACCGTGGCGACTCGAGCCTTATGCACTATGAGTATCTTACTGCAACTTTTCTGGCTCATTAAAATTTCACATCATCTTTAATTCATCAGAGGTTTCTCAAGGTGTGACTAAAAGCTCCCTGAATTTTCAGCATATCACACATCTGGAGCCCCAGTGGAGTTAGTGAAGTAGTAAGGGATTAATTAAACTTCTAATGAGTATAGAACTAGCAACTCTGTACCAAACTCTGACTGCTTTCCACATCCACTGAGGATACACACAACCCTCAATGCTACCAGCAATGCCTTTAATCCTTAAATGGCTAATTACAAGTTACATATTTATATTTCATTTTTGTACTTGCTAAGTAGAACATCAAATGCTGCTGTACCCATTAACTTTGTATATTGTGTGTAGAACTGTTTTTAATGTAGTTTTTGTCTCGAGTTTATTTTCTAATAACGAGTTGTCTGATTCATTTAGATGAGAAGAGCAATGAAGTGGATCTGTCAGCCAGTGAAGAATGGGACATCAAGACAATCACAAGTGCACTAAAGCTTTATCTCAGGTAAGAATTACATATATAACATACCACATGCACACACCTAAAACTATTTTCAACTAATTTTTATATTTATTTGTTGATTGAATGTTTTATGTTAAATTTTAGCAGTCATTCATTTGTATTTTGAGCCATCTTAAATTTAAGTCGTCTCTCCACTGAACACATTTTTTCTGCTGTACACGCCCCTTTTTATGTTCATACCACTTTCTCAATAATAGGTTTTGTTGGCTTATCAAATTTGTTGCCAGTGGTAACCAATATAAAAGGCTATGTGTGCAGGCAATATTAATATTAATATTAGACGATATTAATTCAACCATTAACCTTATTCTGATCTAGAGAAATTGCATTTCCTGCAAAAATGCAGTGTGAAGGCTTATTGCAGAAGAACTTGCTGAAAAACAGCTGAAATTAGCTAAAAACCGGCTGAAATGTACAGTAGCTGAAATGGAAGAATAAGCCTAAATTAGCAGAAGAAAACAGAAAGAACATATATTTGCTGAATTAGGTTTGAATATGCAGAAATGAGCACAAACATAAGGAAATTAGAAAAAAAAAAAAAAGGCTGAAATTAGTATAAAAAAAACCAGCTGAAAAGTAGCTGAAAATGCAGAAAGAAGCTTAAGCTACCAACAGGAAGTGGGAAGAGCTGAAATGAGCTAAAAAATAGAAAAAGTGGAATCGGCTGAAATTAACATAAAACAGCCAAATAGTAGCTGAAAGAGCAGACAAAGCTGAAACGAGCAGAAAAAAAGCTGAAAGGTGCATAACAAGCTGAAATTAGCATACAAAATTAATTAGGTTGAAAGTAGCAAATTACCAAGTAAAACTGGAATTTATCTGAAAACAGATAACATTAGCTAAAAAGATAGTTGAAAATGTAGAACAAGCTTAAATTTGCATAAAAAAGCAGAAAGAAGCTGAAATTACAAGAAGGAAGTGAAGAGAGCACGTTTGCTGAATTAAGCTGAACAAAGTTGAAATGTGTGCAAAAAATGTGGAATTAGCTGAAAAAGCTTAAATTAGCTTGAAACTGCTTAATAGAAGCTAAAATAGTAGAAAAAGCTGAAACGTTCAGAAATAAGCTAAAAGGAGCATAACAAGCTGAAATATGCAGAAAGAAGTTAGAAGAAGTACAAAAATGTTGTACTGTAGTTTCCGCTTTTGCACTGCCCTATAAGTCGCATCAATCCAGATATGTATAACAAAGTGTAAATAACAAATATGTTGCTTTGCCGTATACGTTGCATCTTTATGCGTTACCGCTGACCCGTCGTGTTAGTTACGTGTCACCGCTGACAACCCGGAAATGTGGGCCGGTGTTTTGCCAAAAATCAATGGGCTACCAATTAGTGGCCGCGGGGACGTGCACGGGACGACTTTAACAAGAATTTAACAAGATTAACACTTAAAAACAATTATTTGTTTGCTCGAAATTATAGTAAAGGTTTGTTTCAGTTGAACTTTTCCTTGATAAATGTACTTTGACGGCCAAATCAGCTGCATTTCAAAACCCGATACGCAGAAACATTAATATGCAGAGGGCGACTCGCTGTGCATTTCTTCAAAATTTAACAAGATAACCACCTAAAAACAATTATTAGTTTGCTCGACTTTATAGCAAAAGTTCGTCTCAGTTGAACTTTTACTTAATAAATGCACTTCAGTGGTCAAATCAGTTGCATTTCACCGGGGCGTCGCAGCAAAATTAAGCTTATTTGATGGCTCCAGGCAGACGACGGTGGCAGTCTAAGGCAAGCTTAATGTGTCGTTAATAGTCAAGTTGTATGGCATGCTGTTGTATCATGTAATGGGTAAAAGTGGCTGACATCTAGTGGCTAAACATAGTAGTGTTCAGTATTTTCAATCAGAATGAATGAAAACGGTCATATCTCAGTCAAAAATTGGTTTATGAATATGGGGAAAAAATCCATAAATACGTCTTTTCGGCATATAAGTCTCAGGGTATGTAAATTATGCAAAAAAACGTGATTTATAGTGCAAAAAAATACAGTAGTCAGCAGAAATAGATAGATAAATGTACTGTAGGGGAAATTTGTTTTGGACATTCAGAAATACTCTGAAAGGAGCACAAAACAGCTGAAAAATAGTTGAAATTAGCTGAAAGTAGCTGAAAAAAGTTTAAATTTGCACAAGGAAGCTGAAAGAAGCTGAAGCAGAACCAAATGTGAAAGGAGCAGTAAAAGATTGTAAACGAATCTAAAGATTTGAAGGATGTAAAAATGAGCTCAATTCCTTTCCTATGAGAAAGAAAGTGGCAGAAAAGGCTAAATATTTCAAAAAGCTAAAGTTGCACCAATACCAAAAGTCACAGCAGGATTGTCCTGAAAAAGCTGAACGTTTTGATATATTACTTGTTGAAATAGCTTGAAAACTGCAGGATGAGAATCTCGCCAAAAAACGTCCGGAAGAAAACTGGATGACAATAGTGTGAAGCTTCATAAACATTCACACTACAGTATATGGTAGCAGTCCAGTATGCTGTATTACCAATCTGCATCTAGAATATTCAAATTCTTTTTCAGATGTTGCAGAGTATAGTCAGAGGATTTAATCAGGTGTATATCAAGGCTCCCTTTGCCAGTTCTATATTTGCACTTATTTAAAGTCTTTTTATTACACTTGGATATTTTTATTTCATTTTGAAATTAAAGAGATTAATCATTTTACTGTAGCATTTTTTAAATTATCTTCTAGACATTTTTAAATGCTTTGATTTGATTGGTTTGATTTGGCTACTTTTGTATTTTTTAACATGTTACATATAAGAGTTGGAGTTATAATGATGCTCAATTTGTTGCTGTGTGTGTGTGTGTGTGTGTGTGTGCGTGTGTGTGTGTGTGTGTTTGAGCAGGACCATTTACACCATTATGTGTTTACATTTTTATGAACTATAAATTAGTCTGAGTTGGCTGTGGTAGTTAATGGCAAAATTTAAAAAGAAAAATGTGCATGCACAGTAGGGGATGACTCTCATCTACTAACACATCAAATGTTAGCTCAGTTTCTGCAAGGTTTGGCTTAATTATATCTGTGGCAGCCATCTTGAATTGGGTTGACTGTAAGAATTAATCCGTTCTTGATGTCCAATCATAATAAACTTTATTATCATTGCACCGAGATGCAACGAGAATATGTCCATACAGTTGTCTGAAAGATGGGAGGATTGCATGTAGCTCCTGCTATGAAACGCGGCCTCTTATCCTTTTCAGAATAAAATTTTTTAAATAGAAAAAGGGACAAAGCCATTGGGAGAGGATAGTGACATTACAAAAAAGATCTCTTCACACCTTGTCCTAACAGGACACGATTTAAGACGTAAAAAAACCTCTGCCAGCAGCACATTTATGAACACGTTACATATGCATTTACAATGAAGTGGTCCATGAAGCACTAACAGATAGTCCGTTGTCCTGATAAGATGATGGTCAGCCGGCACAGTTCTGATAAGCCTCCACAGAGGAGGGGGGGGGGGGGGGGTTGCGATAGACAAAGCTTTTCCTTAGTTTACACATTTCCCAGGAGAAATTGACAAGTAGGCCTGTTTTGAGGCCAACTGGGCAGTCACGTTCAGATAACCACAGTTGTTGACTTATGCCCCTTTTGCACCGCCCCTAATAAGCCCCAATTCTGGGCAGCCCGCCACAGAAAGAACCCTTTTGCACCAGCACTTTAGCTAGTATATTTAGCTGATTTGAGGCTGATTCAGGACCTCTTTTCATTCCTGCTTCTCTGGTGGGACCGAGCGAGCTCAGCTGAGTTGAGTCGGGACGAAACATGAATGCAGGACTCTGATTGGTCAGGGGGAGGAGTCACTGGATCTCAGAAACTTTTCAGTGAGCCGCCATTTGCAATTTCGCTAGATGCGGAGCAGCGGCTGGATCTATTTTTAAGATTTTAAAAACAATAATGACAACACCGTGTTTAATTCTGAAGTCCAGGCATTTTTTGTGTTTGGTGACCGACTATAAAATTAGAGCAAGTGGTGTCACCGCGGAGGATCATACGAGCTGCAGAGCCGTTGAAGCCCGTGAGGCCGAACCCCGAGCACTGGCTTCGCCTGCTCACAAAGGCCGGATTCGAGCTCTGGCAGGCGGGAGGACCGGGATGGAGGAACGGGGGGTGGAAACGTTTAAAGAAAAAAACATTTTATGTATAAAATATAAGTTTTTATAATCAGTGAAGATTAAAAATAAATAAACGGTGCCGGCTTTACCGTGAAATCCTGTTTTCCCTTTGTCTATATTAAATAATATGTTAATTAAAGTTAATTCAACTGAAAAATTATACAAAGATAAAATTATTGGATCTCAGGAATATTTCCCTCAAACATGTTTAAAGAAGAGACACAGCCTTTGGTTCAACATTATTCTAACCCACACATGTACAAATCACAAAACAAGCATTACACTTTAAATTAAAGCTTTAAATCAAAGCTAAACTTTAATTCAAAGCTAAAAAAATCTGTATACAAGAACAAATAATCTGTATACAAGAAACAAAACCACAATGAGTGCAAATACATCCAATGATGAAGAAAAATATAGACTTTTAAAAATAGATATCCTGATGCATGCTCAATAATCCAGGTAGAAAAATCTAAAAAAGTTAAGTCTGGTCCTCTGGACATTCAAAAACAAACAAACAAAAATGTAGAAACGTTTCTTCTTTCACCTGAAAAACTTCTTCAGTCTGAGGTGCTGTATTCAGCTCAGTCTTATATAAATAGCTATGAGCGGAATACAGCACCTCAGACTGAAGAAGTCTTTCGGATAAAAGATGAAACGTTTCTACATTATTTTTTTGGTTTGTTTTGTTTTTTGAACGTCCAGAGGACCAGACTTAACTTTTTTAGATTTAGATATAAATGTTTTTGTAGAATCTGGTTCATCAGATTTAATTCAGTTCAGTTTATTTATACAGCGCCAAGTCACAACAGAAGTCGTGTCAGGGCACTGAACAGAAATATTCATATATGAAATAAGTTAACAGAAACATTCATATATAAAAATAATAATTTAATATTATTTATCTGAGGAGCAGACTGCTTTGAGTAACTCATCGCAGAACTCTCATTAGCAGGACTTGGATTCTGGACACGCCTACAGAATCGGTCCTAAAGTGCAGGTGCAAATCCAGGCTGAGTAGGGGTGTGCAGAGTTGGGGCTGATTAGGGGCAGTGCATTATTCAGGCAGACTATTTTTTCCTTGCCAGCCTTTGAGTCTGTACTGATCCTTCCAAGGTCCGAAATGGCCAGATTAGGGTGCATTCTACTGGTCCGTGATTACGAGCCTCTTCAAGGTAATTTTCATGCTGACGAGTCCCAAAGCTGCAGGTGGCCTGCGATTCAAATCACTTCCAACCAACAGTTTTGCTTGTAAATCAGCTGATTTTGAGTCCTCCAAGCACGAACCAAACCTTTACAAGCAGGCAGCAGCCTGACGAGGTCCAAATTGGCTGCGGCCGTCTTCTTTGTATGTTGATAAACCAGGAACCAGACTATTCCAAAAACAGGAAACCTGTTATCATAACTCCAATTATATGCAATTTCAGTGTCCTCGATCAATAGTAGACATGTCACATTTCACTTCCCCAGAGATATATCCAGCTGCATGTGTCATCCAAGCAGATGAGGGTTCTCCAGGACCCTGTCGCTTTGTTGAAAAGATTTTGTCATTTGCGTCGGAAGTCCAGATGGTCAGATCCAAAACAGTAGTTTTCATTTCTGAAGATGTATAAAAATAGGAGCTGCTTTGATACACAGACAGAGAGCAAAAAGCAGGAGGAGAACAGGGAGCGGGAAGAAACGTGTGCGCCTCATTAGAGAACCAGTGCGGAAAAAAAAAAATTTCAGTGATTATTCAGAGTTTGATTGATATCTATTCACTGGTTCATAAAATATTTTTGGTAATGGTACAGACAATCAAACACAAACATCCACACACATGAACTCATTGTCGCCTACAGTTGATAAACATGAATATTACTCAATGTTTTTGAAACAGTGATATATGAAACCTTGTTCATTCTATCAACATATCCATATCATTTTACCTACGAGCATAAAGCAGGTCAAGTGCTTTAGTCTCCTCTTAAGTTAAACACTTTTGGCCATGATCCAACAGCAGTGTGAATGTACCTTCAGATGAACTTGGCCGTCTCAGCAAGCGCGCCTTGTAATTTCATCCCCAAGCCTAGTCACATTAATCACTGCTATGTGCAGCACCTATAAAACATTGTGCCAGCTATTTCTGTCCTTCTTGCTCACTTCTACTTTCCTCTTCCACCTTCAACCCACTCTCCCCAATTCTCTTCCCGTCTCTGTGTAGGAGCCTACCTGAGCCATTGATGACCTATGGACTTTACAAAGAGTTCATCAACCCTGCAAGTAAGTTTCACCACCTCATGTACCTGTTCTTCATCAGGATACAGACCCTAAACAAACACAGGTGCATCCACAAGCTGTCAATTTAGGAAAGCTTTGCAACATGCAACAAAGTAAAGAATAAATGCCGAAAGTGGTTTAAATGACGCTTTACCAACTTTGCAATAAAATTAGCAAATTCTTTAAAGGTAGTTAAAAGTACACAGCCTTTTTAAGTGCAGTCCATGCATGTTAATAAGTAAACATAAATTAAGGAAGGGCATTTCAAGCAACAACACTCGTAAAAAAAATTCTGTATTTATTTATTTTTTATAGAATTTATTTGACCCATCCCTGTTTCATCCTGTTCTGGGTATGTAGGTTTCGTGTCCAAAAAAATCCACTCTGGCTGTAAAAGCACTATTAGGTCACAGCCAAGGTCTATTAGCATGCAACTTGAAGATTCGGTGTCAAAATGTGCCATGTCATTATTATATAAGTTTGCATTTGATTCCCATTTTGTCAAACAGTCGAGAATTTGACTTGTATCTATTACTTTAGCTCTATATTATATTACCGTAGTTTCCGGTCTATAAGCCGCTACTTTTTTCGTGCTTTAAACACTGCGGCTTATACAATGCTGCAGCTAATTTATGGATTTTATTTTCTTGATGGGCTAACAAGCTTCATGCCACCAAAACATTTAGCCTCGTCGCATCCAGGCACTCACATAGCTGCCCAATACACGTCTTTCTTGGAGGGGTGGGTCCTCGTGACTCAATTCTAGACTACCTGCATAATAAAGGTTAAAAAAAAATCTGACCACTGAAATTACCGAATAGGTCACAGTGGACCAATAAACCCAAGTTTTATTACTCCACCTCCCCATTGTGCCCCCAGGGAGGGGGGGAAATGAGCCCCCCCCCCCCCGGTGCACAACTAATTATTTGTAGCCACTCGAAATAAGTGTGAATCGTACACTTGTGTAAATATCTCATGTTACAACATGGACACCCGTGGTTTATAGATAAGTGTGGCTTATATATGTACAATTTTATTTTTCTTTTCAAATTTGTGGGCATGGCTTTTATTCAGATGCGCTCATGAGTCCAGAAATTATGGTACATTGCCTTGCAGACTCATTTGTATTCATGTTGATGTACTTTTATCTTTTAACATTTTATTTGGTATATGACTAAATAAGTCATTACAGGATTTAGGGCAAAATTGTCCTAGAACCTTAAAAAAAAATCTACATCATTCTGTTCACACACACAACATAATTTCAGTATGAAATGTTTTTGCAGCGAGCCAAACTTGAATCTAATTATAACAAGTGCTGTAATTGGATCAGGTTGATGTTTTTATCAGGCATCCGCAATGCCCTTATTATAATGGGGGGGGGGGGGGGGGG